GCGCTTTTCCAGGCTTGGAGGGGCTGAACGAGCCGCAGGAAGTGGCGTGGGTTGTCGATGCCCTTGCTGCAATCTTTTGGCGCTTGGAGGGGCACAGCACCCCTGGAAGTGCACGATTCTGCCGCAAGCGGAAGGCGGTCACAGCGCATTCAGAGGGGTTGCTACCTGATTGTGCGTCACACCGGGAGCTCCCCGCATGGCAGAAAATTTCCTGGTGTTTTTTTCTCACAGACGGACATTTTTCGAAAGCTAAACAGCAGTCAGACTGCGCCACGACCGACCGCATATTTTGGCCTCACCATCTCCACGAAGCTGAGATTGGATTACACGGAGCTACACACGCATATACCCTGCGAATTCTAAACCCATACAAAACGAAACAATGTCTCCCAACCCGTACCTCCTCGCCGCCGACAACCCGACGGCCCTGCTGGCCCTCCTCCGCGAGAACCCCGCCATCGCCTCGGGCCAGGATGAGCACGGTTACTCCCTCGTCCACGCCGCCGCAAGCTACAACCACCTCGAGCTCCTGCGCGCCCTGATCCGCGAGTTCAACGTCGACGTCAACATCCGCGACGAGGACGAGGAGACGGCCTTGTTTGTCGTCGAGACGGTCGACGCGGCCAAGTGTCTCGTCGAAGAGCTCGGTGCCGACATCAATGCCAAGGGCTCCGAGGGAATCACCGCTGCGCAGAAGATCGAGGGCGAAGGAGACTTCCCCGAGATCGCTGAGTACCTGAAGAGCGTCAGGTCGCACAGGACGGCCGACGCTGTCGAGGAGCACCAGAGAGAGGCCGCCGAGACCGCCGCCCCACCGGCAGAGCTGCCGCCCGTACCCGAAGGCCTTGCCGTGACGCTCGGCACCATGGACCAAGCTGAGGAGGTCCCCGCCGAGGTCGACCCCGAGTTCAAGCGCAGGATCGAGCAGCTTGCCGAGAGAGAAGACTTCCACACCGCCGAGGGACAGGCTGAGCTTCGCCGACTCGTGGAGGACGCCATCCTCGACCAGGGACTCGGCGATGAGCGCAGCGTGCGTCAGAAGCAGGGCTAGCTTTTTTCTTCCTTTCTTCTATATACAAAAGAGAACCAACCTTACTCGTCGCCCTTGATTTCCCAGAAGAGGTAATGGCCAGGCGACTCAGGGGGTCGGAGGAACGCCACCTCGGTGCTGTCCCCGACCAGACCCTTGGAGAAGGAGGTTGCGCTCAGCGAGAACCAGGCTCGCGAGGGGAGCGCGAGGAGGGCATTGATGAGCACGCTGCGGACCCAGGCGGGGGTGAAGAAACCTTGCCAGGTGATCTTGCAGATCTTGTCATGCGAAGGGGATGCAGAGTCGAGAGGCGTTGGAGTTTGATAGCGAGACAAGTACGGGTCGATGTTATCGCCTGCTGCGACGCGAGGGCTTTGGAGGCGAATTAAAGAGAGCCATTCATACGTCTCTGTTGCATAGTCTTCGAGGCCGGGTCTGTCGCCGCTCTCAATGACCTCGCTGGGGAATGTGAGGGGCGCCATCTGAACCTGACAGTCGGTGACGACAGACGGCTCGCAGGTGTATCTTGTTGGAAAGTACTGCTCCAGGGGGTCTGGCGAGGGGGCTGGTGGACTTTAGCATAATGTGTGAAAAGGGGGGCAAGCGAACATACTGGTAGCCGTCGCGTTGCAGAACAACCACGTCACAGGCGCGTTGAGAGCATTTTTACATGCGTACAAAAGTCTGTCGAAGCCCTTCTTCCCGTGAAGCATCGATGGGTCTCGTAATTGGTAGCTCACCACTGGGAAAATTAGCAATGCCCTGCTTGAGAATTCAAAAATCTGTAACAAACCCCATCTTGGCTTCAAGCCCCTTTTCCCTTTGACTCCGTGAGGCTTCCCCACCAAGCCAGCCCGCTCGTATGACTCCTTGTCGAGATACATGGTAAGCAGCCCTTCGCGCAGGGAAAAGACATTGTCCACCGTTGTCTTGCCTTCCGACAGCATGAGGATGTTGCCTACTTTGTCAGTCACACAGTGACGCAACTCCAAGATGTCTAATTCGGCGTACCCCTCTTGATATACTCGGTAAAAAAAGCTCCGTCAAGGACCTGGCCGAGGGTCATGACGACCCTGTGAAATGTCGGTGGAGCGAGCTCCTTGGCAAGCTTCTGGTGCACCAACTCATAGCACTCTTGAGGCAAGATGAGATCAACCTGAGACTTCAATCAGCTGTGCTCATAAACAATACTGCCCTCAAAAGTGATCCCGAACCTTGTGGTTGAATCCTTGACTCAAAATGGGCGCCCACGGCTTGCCCTTAGTCGGCAGCTGCTTGGACTCGACGTGAGCCATCGTGCCGTAGCTCACGAAGCATTTTGGCGACTGGTAGACGCTCGGTGCGGGGAACGAGAGCATCCTGAATGGATTTCCGAATGCAGCAGTCGATGTCTATGGTTTTTGTGGGAATCGGTTTCCGGTGTAAGGCGTGTCGAAGGACGCGATGAGAGAAAGAGAGAGAGCTGGACAACTCGAAAGTGAGAATTGCATCTCGAAAGCTAGATCCACACCAGGTGTTCTCCGATTGGAGTAAAGACCCCACACTACCCGCAGCGAACCGCAAATCTGGGAGCTGTCTGGGAGGAACACTCTAGCTATTCACACCAGGGCGTGTCTTGAGCCAGTATCATCATCCACCAAAAAAGCACCGTCACAAACCCACACAAATCCCAATCGAGTCAGAGGTGCAAGACGGACAGAGACGACATTTTCACCGACAACACCTTCATTTCAGAGTCAATAGCCTCAAGAAGGAAACTCAATAATTGGAACAGCGCTGTGAGTAGTAAGACCGGATTTCATCCGCTGGAACCCCGACTAACACCGCCAGCAGCCCAAAACACAGCGCAAACGAGGGGCAGATCATCACCCCGCGCCGCGCCAGGATTTTTTCTCCGGCGACTACTGCCCCTCCTTGACGGCTTTTGCGCCAACGACGACCGTCACAATGGAGTATCTCGTGCGCTTCTCCCAGGCTCACGAGTCGTTCCGACTGCCGGAGCTCCAGGCTCTGGCTGATCTTGAGGGGATTCATATGAAGGTTGTGGAGTACAGCGCAGAGGTGAGTGTTGGTCTATTTCATGAGGGGCTCATATGAGCATCTCCAACCACTTCACAATGTTGCCCATGAAGATTGCTGGAGATGTTGCTTAACCAACGGCTTTCTTACACTCCAAACATCCGACATTGAAACTCCCATAAAACCCATCCTATGAACCAACTCCAAATTCCACATGACCACTCACCCAGCCAATCTCACTAACATCCTCCCAGACCCCCTTCTGCATCATCACCCTCCCCTCCCCAGACGACGCCCCCCGCCTCGTCGCCCGCTCCCTCCTCACACAATCCATCCACGCCCTCTGGGCCTCCTCAACAACCTACCCATCCCTCCACGAAACCCTCAAATCCCTCTTCCCCTCCTCCACCCCGCCGACAACCCCCCTCTGGTCCCCCTCCTACGCAACCGCCTCCTTCCGCTTCAACCTCGACACCTACCAAACAACCCGCCCCCACGCCGACTTCATCGCCCTCATCAACTCCTTCAAATACCTCCCCCTCGCGGGGCCCATCCGCATGAAATCCCCCGACATCGAGTTCACCCTCTTCGAGGACTGGGACCTCCATGGCCCCGCCCCGAAACGCATCTACCTCGCCCGCCTCCTCGGCACCGGCGCCCGCCACCTCTCCCTCACCTACGACCTCAAGAAGCGCGGCTACATCTCCACCACCTCCATGGACTCCGAGCTCGCCCTCGTCACCGCCAACCTCGCCCACGCCGCCCCCGGCAAGCTCTTCTACGACCCCTTCGTCGGCACCGGCTCCTTCCCCATCGCGTGCGCCCACTTCGGCGCCCTCGGCTTCGGCTCCGACATTGACGGCCGCTCCATCCGCGGCGCCGGCGGCGAGCGCTCCGTCCTCGGCAACTTCGCGCAGTACGGCCTGCGCCACCGCGTCGGCGAGTTCTGGACCGCAGACCTCACTAACACGCCCGTCGTCCGCTCCGGGAAGCGCCGCTGGCTCGACGGCATCGTGTGCGACCCGCCCTACGGCGTGCGCGAGGGCCTGCGCGTGCTCGGGTGCAGGGACCCGGAGAAGACGCCCTGGGTCGTCGAGGCGGGCAAGACGCGGTACAAGGACAAGGACTTCATCGCGCCCAAGAAGCCGTACAGCTTCCTTGCGATGCTGGACGACATTCTGGAGTTTGCGGGCGACACGCTCGTGGACGGCGGCCGGTTGAGTTTCTGGATGCCGACGGCGAACGACGAGGAGCAGGAGATACCCGTGCCGGAGCATCCTAGGCTTGAACTGGTGGTAATTTGCGTGCAGCCGTTCAACAAATGTAAGTCGACGACCTTCCTTCCTTTGGCCAGGTTGAATACTAAACCGACAACAGGGTCACGGCGGCTCATCACGTACCGCCGCATTCCCGACTCGCAGGTCGATCCGGAGAGGTTAGCCGCGTACAAACGCACATTCGTGGAGGGGACAACAGCAGATGAACTGAACCCCTTTCGGCGGGGCTACTTCACCAAGTTCGAAAAGGAAGAAGCCTAATAGAAGAAGAATAAACATGTACAGCAAGTCCCCTCCCTCCCGTCTTTGATGATGCCTTGTGTCCGTGCCTGATAAAAAAAAAAAGTAATACTGTTTCGCGCCGCATGTGGTTATGGCTTTCCCTCTCCTCCTCTTGTCTCTCCCGTATGTGGTCATAATTCCCTTTGCCGCTTGCCTTGAATTATCTCCCCTCGTCGTTCCCAAGGCATGTCCCAAGGCATCGTCGTTTGATATCATTTGTCAAAAAAGGCACCGCATGCATCCAATCAATTCCAGCAAGCAAACTCCCGCGCCGGATGACTCTTCTCCCCGGTGCCGTCGGGTTTTGCGCTCGTACCTCTGATCTGTCCTGCACCCCGAAGTACTTTCCTTTCCGGATGTCGTTCCGGGGGATCGGACCTTTTTTCCTGTTCTTATCTGAATTCCATGGCGCTGAAGCAGCCCCTGTCCTCCACGTGCTTGAGCTCGAGCTGCTGAAACCTGGTGACGAATGGCGTCAGCAAAAGAAGAAAAGAACAACAAAAAGCCCGTTCGGGGTCTCGGGCTTTTGAAAGGGTATCGTCGGCACTCACTTTTCGCTCTTGGAGTGGAAGTATATTCCACTCACCTCACCCTTGACCTGGTTGAAGCAAATGTAGTAGAATCCCTCGAAGCTAGCGCCAGAGATGGTGCGTACGCGATGGTCGGGTACGAGGAAATGCTCCTTCCAGCGCATGAAAATGTTCTCGCGCTGGGCCACGTCGCGGATCACCACAGGGCCCTTACGCGCCTGCTTCTGGAAAGGACGGAAGGCGTTAAATTTCGCCCAGTGGTTGAGGTCGATCTTATCGGTGGCGCCCCAGGTCTCGTGATTTGTGGTGAAGCCGTACTTTGTGCCGATGATCTCGCCCTCGAAGTATGTCGTCAACGTGGGGTGGTCCTCAGTGAGGCCTGCACAAAGTTTAGCGGGCGTTACACAATGGGCGGGGGAGCTGTGGCTTGTTTGTACCTTGAATACGCAGATAGCCGCAGAGGAATGACTCCCTCAGGTCGACATGCTTGATTTCGACCTGGACGTCGTAAACCTGTCGCTCGGATTGCTGTGTGCCGCGGAACTTGCTCCCTGGCCGCAAAAAGGATGATGGTGATGATGGAATTATCTGTGGCAGTCAGCAAACCGGTGCATCGAATCAGTCATCGATGGGGGGGAGCATACCCTCATGTTGGAATATTCTGAACCCATAGAGGGTGCCATTAGCTCCTCCTCCCACACGTCATCGGCATCAATATCCATGCCCTTGCCGTCGTCGTGTAGTGTTGTTGCGGACTGCCTGGTATCATGCCGCCTCGATCCATCAGCACGGGACGCTCGTAGCCTGTCACCGGCCGAATGTCCCTCCTCGTCAGATTCGCCTTGCTTGAACGACTCCATATCGGCCGCGGGCGACGAGTGGGCGGTGTCGCCCGACTGCGGCCTCGGCGACATGGTTGTTGATCTAGAGGAAGAGACGGCGGATGTGGGCTCGTCGTCGAGAATGACCTCGGTACTTATGCCCTCGGTGGGAGACATTGGGGCGCTGACGGGAGCGGGAGAGGCGTCCTCGTCCATGCGGTCGCGGTCGTGATGGGGATCCATCGCTGCCGGGCCGTCGTTGGCATCTGGGCCGGTGGGTGGACGCCAGCTGCGTTGGGGAGATCTTGAGTTGCTGTCTTCAGGACATGTCGAGAAACTGTGCGATCGAGGAGAGTGGGGGTCGGGAGGAGGGTTGGATGAGGGAGTCGGCATGCTGGGCTGGGAAAGGTGTCGTGTGTCGTGGATGATCGTGAAGACGGGATGGAGCGCTGCAGCAACGGCACTGGCAGCGGTGGACGTCGATGTCGGGCGATGGGGGTCGGTCGCGTCGACGGGGAAAGCTGCGGCTTTACCGCCAGCAGGGGTTGAAGGGCTCCGCAATGATGACAGCAGGGGGGCAACAGAATCGCGGAGGGAGAGCAGATGGAGTGTCGTTGGGCGGGTGCGGGTTCGGGTGCAACGATGCGGCGATGATTATTTCGACGTCGGAGGGCAGCGAAGTCGCCGGTGGGCTGCTTGGTTGTTCCTCGAGGAAACTCGGTCGAGGGGATGAATGCGAGGAGGTGATTCAGACCAGTGGGAGCAGCGCCTTGGGGTAAGGTAGGTTGGCTCCGAGTGGACGGAATCACAAGCTGCCAAGCGAGAGAAGGCGGTCGGCGGCGGACAGGGGCATTGGTCGGGAGGAATCCAACACCGCGTCGTCGAGCAAGCTGCTGTGATGGGGGAAGTCGAGTGTGAGGTGAAGAAGGTAAAAGTAGGGTCGCAAGAATACTTTGCGCCAGGTGGGATGACGATGTCGGGGGTTCGGCGCGGGATTTGAGCCAAAACAGAGAGGAGAAGCTTGCCGCAGATGACGAAGCTTAGATTTTGGGCGAGGAATATAGAATTGTCACAGAAGCGGCGGATGTATGACTGATGTGACAGAGGCGAGGTCAGGCAGATGCAAATGCTGGCGAGCAGCGAGGAATGGGAGGGTTGGCTAGGTATCTGTAGGCAAGTTGCAGTACAATGCAATGCCACAACTAACAGCGACGGCACAGCTCAACAGAGACAAATCTCCATGCGGCTATGCTAGAGGCAGCGGCAGACACTCTCGAATTACCTTAGCAGGTAAAGTGAGGTACCTCTCTTAAAAGTACAAGTGCGACGGCGGGAGGGCAGCACCAGAAAATGGATAGGAAGGGCCTGGGCCTGAACCGTGAAGACTGCAAAGGGACGGAGACGGAGACGGAGACAGAGCAAGACAGAGGGACAGGGCCAACCAAGGTCCTTCAATCAAGTGGAAAATGGGACGGGGTGTGACGATTGGGGAGAGGACACTACCACTGGATCTTGGGCCAGTAAGTGGGCTTTTCTCTGTTGCTGCTCTGCGACTGGGGGAAAGCGGGAAAGGGAAGATGGGGGGTCGCGGAATGCAAAATGGGGGGGGAGGAGGGGACGATGGACTTTGTTGCCGGGATGGGACGAGATGGGATGGAGTGAGGTGATTGGCGGGGAAGCAACGGATAATGTTGAAGGTGCGTGTAAATGAAAAGGCAATGTTATCGTTCTCGCGGGTTGGTTACGATGTTGAGATGGTGTTGAGTATCCTTTTTTGCTGCTGTTTGATGATTTTCTGACTGTTGCGTTATTCGGTTTGAATAATCGAATGGGTGACAGCACAGCGTACGGGCACATGAACAGCTACGGGTACATATGGCGGCAACAGACGAAATACTGCAGTCAAGATGCAGCGAAAAAGGGAGCTGGAGAGAGAAGGAGTCCACCGTCAATGTCAATGCATTGCAGCCGATGACGCCCTCCCCCCGCCTTCCCCCATTCATTGCTGAATACCCCCTCTAGTGTACATGTACCTGCCATAACTCACAGGCAGAGAAAGTACCTGAGAACGGGCATTTCTGTCCATCGCATCGTTACCGCTAGCCACGTTAGAAGGGTCTCCCCGGCATGTGGCATTTCTGCGCTGTCAAGCCTCCATCTGTCCGTCTCTCTCTCGCTCTCTGTCTCCCTGACTCTCTTCAGTACCTAGGTAGGTATTCACTGGGTTCGTTACCAGCCCTGGTTGTTGGCTGTCGCTTCTGGCGTTCGCTCTCTGTCAAAGAACCACGCTAGACGGGCGCCAGCCACGAGACTTTGCCCCCGACTTCTCTAGCGGCGTCGCTGAACACCCCTTAGCCGTGGTTTTTGCTGTCGATGTCCCTAGCGGAGGGTTCTTCTGGGCTGAAAGCGTCACGCACTAGGTAAGACAGACAAGCACTGCCAGCAGAACTGACGGGAACACCTCAGTGCCTCCAGCCTCTTGCTGGGTCTCTCATCGTCGCTTCTCTGTCTCCAGCTTCAGCCACTTTTGTGTCGTCTGATTTGTCTCGGGCCCCCAAACGCTGCAGAAGATAGGAAGCCAGCTCACCTCATGACTACGCAGGTTGAAAGCACTTACTTAGTAAACAGAGGCTTGCAAGAGGTACCGAACACGAACTGCCCCCATCGCTACATGAAATGCTCGTGCATCTGTCCTGAGTATATACCTAGACGCTGCGGCCAGCGGTCTCATGTCTCATGTCCTGCTGAATTTTCTTCTCGTCTCCCCCAAAAGCGCAGGGCCCTTTTTCGGGCTGGCGGGGGGCTCGCAGTCCCCGTTTTTGCAGGCGCTGCCCTGCCGGATCCCGCTGCAATGGAAGGGCGCATCTGCAGTTCCAGGGCCCGGGCCCAGTGACATTCATCACTTCACCCCCAGGGCCCCAAGGAATGGAACAGAGGGCGTCAGCGGGCGCTGCACCCGTCTCTTCAACCGTAAACCTGCCGCAGTGGCACAGACTGGGGCCAAACTCTGTGCTCTCGCAGGTATTCATATCCACTCAAGACTCAGACCGAGGTGACTCTCCAACGAGTCCAAGCACTGCAATTTACCTGCCTCATCTTGCCTTCTGCTGCATGTCCATCTGCATGCAATAGACACTTCATCTACTTGCCCGATTACTCAACGTCTAATGTAAGGCGGACCCCAGCCACGACCAACCGCCTCACCTCTCTCAACTCCCGTCTAAGCCTCATCCCTTTCCATTGCCTCATATGAAATGGAGAAAGGCAGTGCTACAGACACAACACACACAAGGCAGATCCTCTAAACCGCCTACAGTCATCCCGACCAAGCAGCTCCCTGCCCACTGTCTGTGAGCCCATCATATCACGTATGCATTGTCGCTGCCGTCTGTGCCAGCTAATTACCGTTGGATGATGGAATGCCCTTCTCCCCCTTTCCGATATTCAAAGTACATTGCTCAAAAGGGGGACAATAACACCCGTCATCCACATTCTTAGCAATTCGCCGCCTCTCATGCTTGTTTCGACCTCATGGAGATCAAGAGGACGGACTATCATGCTGTCACGCTGACCCCCTCATGCCCTCCTCCCCTGAACTGACCTGAACCGAACCGAACGCCGGGCACCAGCCAGCTCCCGTCACGCCTCACATCCCGCCTTGAACCATCGCCGCTAAAGCGATAAAGCAGTAAAGCCGCACTCCCGCCGTTCGCTGTCTGGTCTCAGCCCTGCCCTGGCCCTCTCCTTGCAAGATCCCGCATCTCCCCGACCGACCCGATCTGTCCGGCCCTGTTATGCTTAGTCCAGAATCCGCCGTTACAAGTCTGACTCGGCACTGCTCCCGTTGACAGCTCGAGCCAACGTGAACCCAAGAGCTGCGTGACACAACCCAACATCCCATCATCAGGGCCGGCGACATTGGGTTAGCTTGTCGTCATTAGCTGATGACAGCGGCCCGCATGTCAGTTCACCACCTCAGACCCTTCCCGTCTCCGACCTAATCTCAGAACACGGCCGATCTGCGCGGCCGACGTCCCCTTTTCGTGCGAGGCAACGGGCGTGCATGACAGTATCATCGAAGAGAAAAAAAAAAAGACGTGTCTCGTTATTGCGGGATCGCGACCAAATTTGGCCACGCCCGTGTAAGTCTACCTCATGAAATGGGGATGGCTAGTTACCCATCGATTGATTCTCTCTCTCTCTCTCTGCTTTTTTCATCCGTTCCCCCCACGCCCGCCGTCATGTCCGAGCTGAAGGGGCCCAAGAACTGCTTCATGCATACACCCGCATCGTTATGCATTTTCTAGAAGTAGTCGGGCTGTTTCCCGCAGTCCGCAGTCCGCAGTCCGCAGGTCACGCGGCATGCGGGGGTTTTTCGTCATTGCATGTTCGTCTCGTAGAAAACCCCCTCCCACATTAAACAGTTGGCCCCTCGCTGAACCGGTGGTCAGTTGTTGTTGCCGGTTTCGGGTATCTCCATTCTTCATTGCCGTCCGCTGTCGTCGGGGTCGTTGTCGTCGTCGATCGCGTTTAGATGGGCTTAATCTTAAAGTGCAGGGCAATCAGGCTGAAGACAAGAGCCTTCAGGTCCTGCACGAGGTAGTAAAACACTCGCAATCCTTCCGGGTCTGCAGACTCCGTCACGTCGACCAAGGAGCCAATCTTGGCGGTCTGCCCGAAACATGTCAGCCGGGTGCCCTGAGAGCCAACGGATGACTCCTACCCACCTCGAAAGAAATATGGTCGTTCCCCAGCCGAATCTCAAGCTCCTGGCGTCCGTCCTTGTTCTTTTGCGGCCACTTTGAGTCGTCTTCCCTGCAGAGGTTGTTAGTCGATTTCTGGGGCATTGGTGTCTGGAAGCGCACTTCAGAATTTCGCTCGTCTTGATGATGCGCTTGATCTCCTCGACGACCAGAGCGCTGACGCACACTAGATACACTTATCAGCCCTTGCCTGCCTGCTGCAAAGCGGGGAGGTGTCGTACTCTCTTTGCGGATCAAACTGTCGTTCCTGTAGTTGGAGTTGTTGGCATATCGTGCAACTGCACTGCGTCCGTCGCCGACAACGCGGAAGTCAAACTCTGGGATCGGTGTCAGCGGGTTTGCCGCAACGAACGTCGAGGTCGGCGGGGCGGGTTACCCAGGAACTCATGGCCGAAGCGTCCAGAGTGGCCGGAGCTATTGCTGTTAGCTGGGTGTAATCCAAAAGAGTTCAGCAGAACCAGACGCACTAGTATCGCAGGTAGAATTGATCGTTGGGGGCGGACATGGTGGGCGGCGTCGTCGACAAAGCTCGGTGTCGGTGTCTCGTCGCGACTTGATGTCTTTTGGAGCTGCAAGGCTGGGGAATGGGAATGCAAGAAAAGCGGGATGGCCCCCGTCGTCCCTCAGCCCTGGCGGGGTCTGCCATCATGAGTGGGTAGAGCTTCGGCCAATGAAAGAGCTCCGTTGGCAGAGGCTCTGGCCGGGTCTCTCCGGCGTCTTAATCCGCTCCGAGTTCAAGGGTCCACTGCCGTCACGTGTTTCGCTTAGTGACACCTGTTCGGCGCCCGGGGACAGATATTCACGAAGGGCCAGATCAGTGTACAGAGGGCCCGGCGGTATATGCTACAGTTGCGCAGCCGTGTATCGCGAATCAGTGAACTGGACAGAACTGCTCCCAACAACCCACACAGACACTGACGACGCATGCTTGCTTAAGGAGCTCTCGTGTGGAAGTGGATTGAGTAAAACGGATGGCCTAGAAGAGTATGTCACTTTCCAGTCTCCAGCACTTGCATCGCCCAAAAAAAGTTCCAATCGTAGAGAAGGAGCTCCCTGAGCTAACACGTATTCCCCCCGTCCCTTAGACACACTGCCGTCCAATCCCCAATCCCCACCGCCCAGCTTCGACACATCCCACTCGAACCCCCCGACTTCCATCTTAATTCCCCCTTGAACACGTCGTCACCCTCACCGCGCCGGCACCGAGCCAGCAACACCAACACACTGCCGCCACGATGGCCTCCTTTCTGGAAAATGCCTACAGCTTGGTGCACCAGGACAATGCCGCCGACGTCCCTTCCCTCGCCGACCTGCGCACGCAGCTCGAGAAGGGCACCGACGAGAGCAAGGTCGAGACCATGAAGCGCATTCTCACCATCATGCTCAATGGCGACCCAATGCCTAATCTCCTTATGCACATCATCCGTTTCGTCATGCCCTCGAAGCACAAGCCTCTGAAGAAGCTCCTGTACTTTTACTACGAGATCTGCCCCAAGCTCGACTCCAATGGCAAGCTCAAGCAGGAAATGATCTTGGTCTGGTTCGTGGCGCCTCTGGCCTCCAGCTGAAGCTGCATGCACCCCTACTGACACTCTGGCCTCAGCAACGGTATCAGAAACGACCTGCAACACCCCAACGAATACATTCGCGGAAACACGCTCCGCTTCCTCTGCAAGCTGAGGGAACCCGAACTTATCGAACCTCTGCTGTCCTCCGCGAGACAGTGCCTCGAGCACCGTCACGCATACGTGCGCAAGAACGCCGTCTTCGCCGTTTCCTCCATCTACACACACAGCGCCTCCCTAATCCCGGATGCCTCCGACCTCATCAGCACATTCCTCGAAGCCGAGAACGACCCGACGTGCAAGCGCAATGCCTTCGCCGCCCTGGCCTCCATCGACCACGAGAAGGCTCTGCTCTACCTGAGCACAGTATTCGAGGGCATCCCCAACGCAGAAGAGCTCCTGCAGCTCGTTGAGCTCGAGTTCATTCGCAAGGATGCCATTCAGAACTCCCAGAACAAGGTAGGATATCTCAAGACTAATCTGCTTGGCGCATGGCTGACCCGAGCAGGCGCGCTATCTGCGTCTCATCTTCGACCTTCTCGAAGCCAGCACCTCGACCGTCGTCTACGAAGCTGCCTCGTCATTAACCGCCCTCACCAACAACCCCGTCGCAGTAAAGGCCGCCGCTGCCAAGTTCATTGAGCTCAGCATCAAGGAGGCGGATAACAATGTCAAGCTGATTGTCCTCGACCGCGTGGACCAGCTTCGCAAGAAGAACGAGGGTATCTTGGATGATTTGGTGATGGAGATTCTGCGCGTCCTTTCCAGCCCCGATATCGATGTTCGCCGCAAGGCTCTGGGTATTGCTCTCGAGATGGTGTCGAGCAAGAACGTCGAGGAGGTCGTGCTCCTGCTGAAGAAGGAGCTGTCAAAGACCGTGGACCAGGAATACGAGAAGAACACCGAGTACCGCCAGCTCCTTATTCACTCCATCCACCAGTGCGCCATCAAGTTCTCCGAGGTTGCCGCTAGCGTCGTCGACCTGCTCATGGACTTCATCGCCGACTTCAACAACACCTCCGCCGTCGACGTCATCAACTTCGTTAAGGAGGTCGTCGAGAAGTTCCCCAAGCTGCGCAAGCCGATTGTGCAGAGGTTGGTGGCTACCCTCAGCGAGGTTCGCGCCGGCAAGGTTTACAGGGGTATTATGTGGATTATTGGAGAGTACTCTCTGGAGGAGCGCGACATCAGGGACGCGTGGAAGAGCATCCGTTCCAGCTTGGGCGAGATCCCCATTCTCGCCTCGGAGCAGAGGCTGCTTGACGGTGATGGTGAGGAGGAGAACAAGGAGCAGGTCAACGGACACTCCAAGCCCGCACAACCGACCGGCTCTCGCAAGGTGCTTGCTGACGGAACCTACGCTACCGAGACTGCTCTTACCAGCCAGTCTTCCGTTGCTGCCAAGTTGGAGGCCGTGAAGGCTGCTCAGAAGCCCCCTCTGCGCCAGCTCATCCTCGACGGTGACTACTACCTCGCAACTGTTCTCTCCGCCACCCTGGTCAAGCTCGTCATGCGCCACGCCGAGATCTCCAAGGAGGCTGCTCGCACCAACGCCCTCCGCGGTGAGGCCATGCTCATCATGATCTCCATCATCCGTGTTGGTCAGTCGCAATGCGTGAAGGCTCCCATTGACGAGGACTCTGTCGACCGTATCATGTCTTGCGTCCGCTCTTTGGCCGAGTTCAACCAGCACAAGGAGCTCGAGACCGTCTACCTCGAAGACACCCGCAAGGCTTTCCGTGCCATGGTTCAAGCCGAGGAGAAGAAGCGTCTCGCCAAGGAGGCTGTCGAGAAGGCTAAGACTGCCATCCAGGTTGACGATGTCGTCCAGATCCGCCAGCTTTCCAAGAAGAACGCCACCGACGGTTTGGACGAGATTGAGGTTGACCTTGAGAGAGCAACCGGCGGTGAGGCTACGGCGGAGGACCTTTCCTCCAAGCTCAGCCGTGTCGTCCAGCTTACCGGTTTCTCCGACCCTGTCTACGCCGAGGCTTACGTCAAGGTCCACCAGTTCGATATCGTTCTTGACGTCCTCCTGGTCAACCAGACTATGGAGACGCTGCAGAACCTCTCCGTCGAATTTGCTACCCTTGGTGACCTCAAGGTTGTCGAGAGGCCGACGACACAAAACCTGGGTCCCCACGACTTCCACAACGTCCAGTGCACTATCAAGGTTTCCTCCACGGATACCGGTGTCATCTTCGGCAACGTTGTCTACGATGGTGCCCACTCTACGGATACCAACGTTGTCATCCTGAACGACCTCCATGTCGACATTATGGACTACATCCAGCCCGCCACCTGCACCGAGACGCAGTTCCGCACCATGTGGACCGAGTTCGAGTGGGAGAACAAGGTCAACATCAACTCCAAGGCCAAGTCGCTGCGTGACTTCTTAGAGCAGCTGATGGCGGCCACAAACATGAACTGCCTGACTCCCGAGGCCAGTATGAAGGGCGACTGCCAGTTCTTGAGCGCCAACTTGTACGCTCGCAGCGTATTCGGTAAGTCGTTGAATGACTTTCTACAGCATCTTTTCACTACTAACAACTGCACAGGCGAGGATGCGTTGGCCAACTTGAGCATCGAGAAGGAGGGCGAGGATGGACCCATCACCGGCTTCGTCAGAATAAGAAGCAGATCGCAAGGTCTGGCGCTGAGCTTGGGATCCCTCAAGGGACTCAACAAGATCGGCTCAGCGGCGTGAGGGTTGTAAGTGACGGATGTAGGTGCTATATATCGATACTGCAGTAGTCGCCCCGATGTCATGTTTTGACTACCTCCCTCCCGGCTAATCTCCAGCCTGCGGGCGTAATGGGGTTGAAAGATCTAAAAAGGGAAGCAAGAGAGAAAGATGCGACCTGGGAAGGCGGGCTGGCTGGCTGGCGGTGCTGAATGGAAATGAAATATGAGGGGAGAGATTGAGTCCTTGTCTGTGTTTTCCCCCCTTTGGCTCTCTCTCTCTCGCCCCCTCCTCTTTTTGTGGTTAGAGTAAAAAGTGCAGCCGGGTCAGGCGTCATGAGTAGGTAGAAATGAGATGTTATTCATGTTTTAAGCAAGTACATGTCACCCAGGTGGTGTCATGGCATGGGTACGATGAGTATGATGAAGAATCATGTCGTATTAAGTACGGTATCGACCAAGCCGGAGGGGTGAACCCCCTCAGGGCATATGCATACGTACATTCCGCTGGGTATGCCGCAGTTTTGGCTGAGCGGAATCGTAAATACTAAACTAATGAGAGCGTGTAATGCTCGTAATGGCTGACAAACAAACAAAGGCTTTTTCTTGTTGGCGGCAAATGTCCTCCACCGAAACGCCAAAGATTGCAGGAGTTGGATCGCAATGAAAAGGGGTATTATCCAGACTGAAACCAATAGTAAACAAAAGGGGAGCGTTTGTGTATCCGTGTTGAAGCTGGGGGTTTAAGAGTGCTGCCGTCGATGGCTACGGCCATGTGTGTAGGTGCCTTGCGGGTCGACGTAACCCGTCCTTGTGGTGTTGGGAATGTACGGAAACGCTGAACAGGTCGCTGTGGTGTTCAGGGGCAGTTTGACGGCTGGGTTGCCATTATTGATCAAGTTCGAAGTATGATGAAGAATAGCGTGTCGTCCAGGGTGGGCTCGAGGGGTGGATGCTGATGGCGTTTCTTCGTCGACGCACTAAGCGCCATCGTTCCTGCCATCCTTCCCGGAAAAAGTCCATATGCTCTTGAGACTATCTGTCAGAGACATAGGCATTGATAACCTGGCCCTGAGTCCAACCCTGCTCCGTAAGAGGCAGATTTTCTTTGAGAAGCTTGCCCATGAAGGCTAAGCGTATCTTCTTCTTGGTTGGAGAGAGCTGGTAGATACGTTAGTCAAAATAGTTGCAGGCCGATATTCAAAATGATAGAGCTTACCCCCGCTTCATTTAGTATCTTGCCGGTAATGATCTTAACGGTGTCGGTTTTGGAGAAGCCAACAGTCACATCACGCCCATTTTCAGACAGACGAGCAAGAAGAGAAAGCTGGTCTCGAGCGTCAGCCACCGCCTTGCCCTTTTCCTCTCTCCGCCTTACATTCTCGTCTTCGTCGAGTTCCTCGGTGGTCTCTTCGCCGCCCGCCAGGTCATCCTTGAAGTCGCGTGTCGAGAGACCCTCGTCATCGTCCGCGACGTCTATTGTTGCGTCGTCCTCGACAAGATTCGTGGGGTTAGCCACCGCCCACTCGTTAAGCTGGTAATAGTTGCCAAGCTGATCGTAGGCACCTTGAGCTAGATCACCAGTGGGCAACGTAATATCCGCCGCGTCAAGAATGCTCTGGGCAGTTGCGAGGCCATTCGTCCCGTCCTCTGCTGCACCATGGCTGGCGGGATTCCAGAGGACCTGCAGAGCGTAGTGAAGGGACTGCCATATCTCTGGACGTCCAGTGACGCGGGTTTCAAAGAAATCTTTGCGCTCACGGTTGATGGCGGAACGGGTCCAGACACGACTCTTGGAAGCCCAGACGTGGCGGCGGAGGGGCTTGTTGATGTGCCTGTCGAGAGGCAGGGTGGACTGACGGTGGCGGCGACCACGGCTGGAGGCCTGTGTCGTGGAGGCGGCGGGGGAGTCGTCGCGGTCGTGGGCGGCGGCCGAAGTAGAGGCGTTGATTGCGCGGGCTGAGCCGGTATTCGTCGGGCCTGGGTAGGGCGAGGTCGAGCCGCTCTGGGATCTAGACATGCAGCAGCCCTACGAGGTTGTCATTAGTCTGATGTTTGAAGCAGCGGCCGTCCGTGGTGCAGTTGGACATTGTGTTTGGGCATCGGAGTACGCTCCGAAGGCGACATGAGATTGAGGAGCAGCTTACCATCGTGACGGTGCTTCAGCGGCAAAGTGGAATTAGGTATATGCGCGGGGTTAAGTTTTAGCAATAAGAGATGCGTCGGTCCATAGCCTGACGTATATGATGTGGCGCGGCCTGATTAGGACTGGATAATATGTACTGTTGGTCCAAGAAACGTTGTCGCCAAACGAGAGCTTTGCGAAATGTAGCGCTTCTGTCCAAGACAACAAACTGTGGAAGGGAGAAGACAAGGAGGACAAGAGGCGTAGAGTTGGGCGACAATCGTTGGAGGAGAGAAGGAGGTGGTGGTGGTGGTGGTGGTCTGGACCCTTGACGTGATGAGCTACTGCTGGTTGGCTGAAGAAGGCGGGTGCGGCTGCGGATGTGTTGGTGCCGTTGGGGGAAGTGCGTATTTGGAAGTGATTGGAGCAGTAGCGAATGAAACGTCGACGAGATCGTTGGCGAGATGTACAGGTAGTGGTGGTGGTGGAAGTGCCTCCCCTGTGGTGGTGATCGGGAGGAGGAAACCGACAAGAGGTGAAGGATGACGAGTAGAAGGTGGGATGGTGACGAAGCAGTGACTTCTTCCCTATTGCGGTGCGACGTGCGACGGGCAGCGACGACGGCAGCAACAGTGACAGCGGGAAGGAATCCAGCGCTGAGGTGGTTGCAGTTCCTCCCCCGGAATAGGATCTCGGCTAGCAGGGGGGTCGCGAGCTAGCGTCACCTAAATTTTGCTTGTTTCCGCTGAAAGTCTGGCAAATGCTGAAAGTCTGGGCCGTGACCGAGGCTCCGGTTCCCTTTCCAGTTTTCTTGTATGTCGAAGCCGTATTATTTGATTGCTGTTGGTTGCAGACATGCACCGAACCAGACCATTCCTGGCTGTCAGTAATTACCCGTTTGCACGTGGGTTTTGCTCCTGCTCAGGAACGCCCGAGACAATGCGCAAAGGACACAATCGATGGAGAGACAATGGAACGGCCCAGACACCGCCAGATCTGATCGCCTCCGAACGCTCTTCCTTTCTTCTTATGTCGTTTTTTTTTTCTTTTCTTCCCTCTCTCTAATTTTGTTTTCTAGCTTAGCTTAGAGGTTGGTCACAAGCGTCTTGGCAAGGGGCCCGTTACACCTGTCGACACAGGGTCCCCCAGCAAGCTCAGCCTACCTTAGTCCACTCATTTTTACGCCGGCGAACCCCTCCCAAGGTGGTGCTCCCAACGGTGCTTTCCAGCGGTTCAGAGTGCTGAAGTGGTCCGTCGGGCGGTAAGGTTGCTGAGCCAAGATGCATCTCACGGCGCCTGACACAGACAGCCGGAGGATGACGACGAGAGCGTGATGCGATGAAAAATATATTTTCCTCCTGAAGCCGGCAACCGTCTCAACGTTAACGGCTGGGCTTGCGCTGTGCGCTGCCAACTCAATTCCATAACCAAACCAACACGGCCCAGGAATGGAGCTGCCTGTCTCAAACGAACCCTTCCGCCCCATTGAGACGCCGTGCCGAGTATCCATTAGTCTCATTAAGCTGGGCCGGGGCTGTCTGTTACTAACGCAATTCAGATCTCTCCCTTTTCAAGATTAGATCTTGCGTTTTTCAGTGAGGCGACGACTTGCTCATCTGCCATGTTATGCAACCGTGTGCTAAATCGCCAAGTTTTGCGGAATCGGCCGTTTTCCAAGCCAGGTGATCCTCACAAACCCGACTTCTCCGGCTTCTTCAGACGAACTGTTCGCCCTGAGTCGTCATCCATGCCTCAATACACGGCCGTGGATCCGTCACGCACCGGCGCCTCCGTATCCTGCCGCTCACCCGTTTCGTCCGTGGTTCCTTGACGCCCACCCATGTCCGTTGCGGACCCATCGGGCCCAGTGTTCCCATTGTCGGTCCATCGACGTTAATGACGTCGAGATGGTCTTCCGAGACAAACATCCCGGCATGCCGAGACAGCTCATAACCTTTGGCCAAGCGAGCATCGCCGCCAAGTCAATGTAACGTCCAGCTAGACCGGTCCTAAATGTCAACCGCATCAGATCATTCGATATGTCTACCACAAGAATCCACGGCAGTTCTTGCTGCCACAGAGGCACGGCGTCATGTCGCCCTGCTTGGACTTATCCTTCGCGTCGTTATCTTCGTCGGATACGCCGTCAACATAGTCGAACGTCAATTCTTCTCCAGCAGGAATATCTCTGAGAGCGAAGAGGCCGATATCGTGCATGTGCTTGTCTGCGTGGTCGCCCACACGGGCAAAGATGCGGAGGTTCGGCTCGCACGAATGATTGATGAACCGCGTCGGCCCCGACATGAACTCGCCATCGATCTCGAGCGGCGGCCCCTGTAGTCGGGGATCCGGAGAGTCGGGGTCGGTGAACTTGTCGAGGGCGAAGAGGTACACGTCTTTGCGTTGTGAAATGCTCGATTCTTTACGGCGGCGCTGGGCTTCCTCTGGCGTCAAGATCTCGCCAATGTACCTGTCCACAAACTGCCCTCTCTTGATGTCCACAAGTGAGCGCACACCTGGTACTCTGTCATCAGTTTCTGTTCTCCAGAGGATTTCAGCAGCTGCAACAACTCACCCCATCCCCTCTGGGTGGTACGGAAAATCTGCAAGGGCACCTTTCTTCCTCTCTCGACAACGCGGTTGGGGCAGCTGTCGGTGCAAGCGCAGCCCTCGTGGCATTCGTAGATCGGCCTCTTGGAATGCTTCAGGAAATGGGATCGTAGCAGTCCCGCCTTGGAGCCGTGCATGTGGTACATGTACACTTTCTTCCTAGCGGTGCCCTCGTCGTCCGAGTCATCCTCTTGTTCCTGGAGGCACAGACAGCCTCGGTACTGGCACTCTTCATCGTCGCGGCATTCGCAGCCTGAGCGGAAACTATCCTCGGCCGCCTCGACGCCGTGTCCGAGCTTCGACTCTTGGAGGAAGCGGAAGGTGGATGGGATGACGGCGTCGTCTTCCTCATTGACGATCGTTATCGGGGCTTCCTTGTTATTGGGGAATCGGCGGATCTGGCACCAGTGGCAGTTTTCTTTTTCGCGCTCGAGGGCCTGTTGCAGAGGAAGTCAGTCTTCGGTCTGGGCGTTCGGCCAGTGGTCAAGGTCGTACTTACCCGTGCAGACGACTTACTTGTCGACTCTGTGGCGCCATGATAGAAGAAATGGCGCTCTGTGGCCGCCTCCATATTGTCGTAATTCTGGTTATGGAATGATGAAGCGATAGTCAGGCATACTATTGGCGGGTTTGCAGAGCTCTTGACGGTGTGCTGCCATGAAGCTGTCAAGCCGCGGGGCAATTGGCCAACCACTTTACGCGAAGCGACGCGTCGGCACCAGAAGCTGTTGCTGACTAAGGCCTGGAGCGAAGTGGGGTAGCTTCGTCACCTTGGACACCGAGGGGTAGCTCGGTCAGCTTTCATCACACTGACCACGATTCCGAGTACAACTTGGACAATCTAGCATGAGATTCGCAAATCCTTCTCGACAACAGCGGCTGACACGGTTTATCTTCGATATACAAACACAACGGGGGATCCAAAGATGAAGACTCGCGCAATTGCGAGAATTTTGAAGCGATTTCCTGATTTTCGGTCTTCTCAAATTTCGGTTACGATGGCATTTGATGCTAAACACCCCTCTTCACTATCACGACCATCCGACTAGATCCTGCGCCCGTTCTTGCACTCAGGCTTGAACGTCGACCCAAGTTCACCCCACTTGATGTTACTAAAGGTCACCACAGGGTTCGGCTCCGTCTTGACAATGTTGGCCGGGAACCCCTCCGTCTCATCACACGGCCCCGCCTCAGGCGCTCCGTCCAGCCAGCGCATGCCGCCGCCCTCGTCCCACCAGATGCTGAACGCCAGCACCATGCCTCTGTCAAACGACTCGCCCATCTCCTTGTGCCCCCCGAGGCCGATGAACTTGCGCGAGCCGGTGGCCTCGCAGAACTCGTCGTTGAGGTAGTTCACCTGCGGCAGGTCGGGGTTGTTGACCGTCTCGCTGCGGATGACGTGCCCGTCTTGGACGTACAGCCGGTGGATCTCGGTGAGCTCGCCGGCCGCGTTGGCGGGGAACTGCGTGACCACCGTGAAGGGTCGGGTGGTGTCGACCGAGAAGTTGGCGCCGCGGCCGTATTCTTGCGGGTTGTTGTTGCGGTACGGGTTCCATGCGCAGCCGTTCTTGTCGCAGACGCCCTCGAAAGCGCAGTCCTCGCCTTCGCAGAGGTAGACGCCGGTTTGGTTGCAAGGGTGCGGCGCGATATGGTTCGCGCGGGAGTTGGCTTCCCAGATGTCCTGGACATCAACTGTCAGTCATCACAAGACACCCTCGTGGCTGATGAGTGAAAGTCTTACCATTTCATTGCAGCACGCTCCGTAACCCTCGAGGTTTCCCTCCCCGTTGATGAACGGCGTCGTGTAACACTGCGCATCACAGTACCCGGTTCCATGGGTTGCGCCGCCAGGGTTGAGTTCACTCCGTCCGCCGTCGGCGTACATCTCTGAAAGATACAGCGCGCTGTTCATGCCACACGGCAACCGCGTGGCGTCGACATCGAAAGTGAACTCCATGCCCGTCAGGTGCATCATCTCATACTTCTCCTTGGACGGCTCGAGCAAGTACACACGCGGCGAGACCAGGCTGCCGTCACGGAGCTGGTACATGGTCATTGCGGCGCCCTCGGTGGTGACGCCGACGCGGGAGTAGTCGTCCAGGCCCTCCTGGACGCAGTTCTCCGCGCACGCTTCCTTGGTGGGACACGCCGTCTCGTTGGCGGCACTACCCCATGAGCCGCAGGAGCCACCGTTGGCTGCCTGGTAGACGTTGTGGGCGAGGGAGTCGAGGACGACGAAGTTGTTCACTTCGGTGCAGCCGCCGGCTTTGGTGCACCGCCAGGTTGTCAGAGGGGGATGGTTTTCCTCGGGGCCGATCTGGCGTTGGGCGGCTGTCAGACCGAGGAGGAGGGTGGCCAGGCCCAGGCTGGAAAGCGTCGGAGCCATGTTGACGATACAGTCGTAGTCCGTCAATC